AATGACATACCAAGGAAATGAAAAAATATTCTTATCCAGTTTCTCTTTGACTTTCGATCAATTGTATAATACTTTATTTTTTGATCAGATAAATCCACGCCTCCCATGTATTTATTATACTGAACAATTGCTAATGGACAAGAAATTTGCTTTCTACTTCCATCTTTATCTCGTCGACTAACTTCACCCTCAACTGCAGGATCAAAGTAGTTTGATGCAATAAGAACTTCTTTCTTGTCCATCCATTCCATTACAGAAACCCCATTAGATGTTAGATATCGATGAGCGCCTCTCTCAAGTTTTTCTCCTTTCTTCAATTCAGTTGGAAAATATTTTCTATCGGAACGAATTGTACCGGTATCTGAAATTTTATTTCTCCTCAGCTTGTAAAGTAATTGTAAGGAAGTAAAATAACTATTAAAAAATAATTGACGATTCTTCATTCCTATCCCATTTACTAATGACATGGCTACATCCTCTTCTAAGGACAAACATCGTTCTGTATTTTTTCCGGTATAAATCTCAAAGTTATACACATATCCTGTACTCGATTCGGCCAAGACCCATACCTTATATCCCCTCTTAGTTGGTTTCAATGGTTGATACTGTTTTATGGACGATCTACCCTTGAACTTTATCATCGCCTCATCTATGGAAATGCATGATCCAAGTGAGTAGTTTTTCTGAAGATTTCTTTTCAAAATATTGAGAAAATCATTTATTTTATAGAATTTATAATAATTAGAAGAGTTTTTCGAGGGCATTTTTGAATTATCAGCAAGATGAATGTTCGAAAAGAGTCGTTGGAAGTCGTTTCTTGTCATTGTGTTGGCAACAGCTGGTGTATAAAGATTTCTGTCTTGACTCCAATAATCTCGAATTCTTGGCAGCTTGTGAAATCCCATGATAAATAAAATACCGAGAAATGCATGTATTAGATTTTCATCAACTTCTTTCCAACTTGTTGCATCTTCACCTTTTTGAACACAACGTTGTTTGCCATAAATGTTGGTTTGATCAGTAATTAATTTGATCAAATCTTGTGATATAAACTTGAAAAATGAATCTGTTGGTCGAATTATATTGTTTCCTAATGCATGTCCATCAAAATAATTGAAAGAAGTAGAAAAACTTGAGTTGTCAACTTTCCATTCCCAATCATCCATTGAACTTTGGTTGAGTTCTTCGATTAATGAATCATTATCTTCGGAATCACTACTTTCAAGTCCATCAGAACTAATTGAACTTTCATTTTCATCGGAATAGGTTTCGTCAGAATCTGAATCCATTATATTTTATAAAACAGTTAGGTTTTCAATACGACACAATGAATCAAAACACGAATTTTTCAAAATTTAGATTTTTGAAGAAAACTTTCTGAAATCAAATAGACATACCGCAATACACTTTTCGACATTGTCTATTCATACGGAGATCTGTACAATCTCGCACAAATATGTCTTAACTACGAACATTTGTTAAAAATATTCCTTCTAAATCTTAAAAACCACAAACATATTTGAAAATTTTTGAAAATTAGAAATTTTCGCTAGATGGTACATATATGTGCCGCCGGGACTCAAAGGGTTAAAGCGGTGCTTCAGACTTTTGTTTAGGACATTGTGATCGGTACGAGGAAACCTCTGAAGCCAAATTTCAAATTCATGTGTTGACTGTCAATTGTATCTAGTGAGGGTGTAGGTGTGAGTGTGCGTGTCGATGTGGGTGTGGATATATGTGGGTTTTAGGCTTTCTGTTCTTCCACATCTCCACCCTCATACTCATACCCACACTCACACCCACACACGTACCTCCTAGTTCGCAATCTATATATATAATGCTCAGTGTGTGTATGTCTGTGCCGGGTCAAAGGACAAAGGTTAAAGGTCAAATGAGGCTTTAAGGAGAAGACTCAGTGCCTATTGTATGGGAATACCCATAGATCCTCAAGGGCTATTCTATGGAGGCACCCATAGATCTTCAAGGGCTATCCTGTGGAGATACCCATAGGTTCTCAAGGGCTATCCTATAGAGGTATCCATAGGTCCTCAAGAGCTATCCTATGGAGGTACCGATAGATCCTCAAGAGCTATTATATGGGGGTACCCATAGGCTCTCAACGGCTATAGAATTAGAGTACCGCGAGACTCTCAAGGGCTATCCTATTGAGGTACCCATAGATCCTCAAGAGCTATAATATGTGGGTAGCCATAGGTGCTCAAGGGTGTATGGCAAGAAGAGGGTAAGGCAAAAAGGGGATAATGCTACAAGAGCTACGAGGGGTATAAGGCCGAAGACTAATGGACTATAAAAATATGTGCACTGTAGGAGTATGAGACCGTAGGGCTACCTATCCGTATATATAATATCGAGTGTCTATTCGTCCTTTAGCAGATGAAAAGTTAAACTTCCGACGTCATACGTTAGAGGAAAAGAAGAGCCGTGCAGTATACACGGGGTCTCACTTGAATCTGTATATATGATGTTCAGCGTGCGTCTCTCTGCGCCGGATCAAAGGTTAAAGGTTAAAGCTCAAACAAAATTATAACGGGCAAGACTATACGAGAAGATGACTATAAAGGATAGGGCCATTAGGCTGGATCGCTATAAGGGGGTAACCCTATAACGGAAAAAGGCTATAAACGAGTAAGGCAATAGGGAAGTAAGGTAATAAGACGATGAGACTATAAGAGTGTGGGGCTATAAGGGGTAAGGTCAGCAGGCAGAAAGGCTAAGACGCGGGAAAACGATAAAAATGAAGCGCTATGAAGGGGTACCCGTATAAAAGCAATAAGCTAGAAAAGGGTACCCCTATAAAAACAATAGGCTAGAGAAGAGTAAGGCTATAAGAGAATGAGGCTGTAAGATGATGAGGCTATAAGACGGTAAGCCTATAAGTGGGAAGGACCATAAGTGAATCAGAAGATATGGCGTAACACTATAAAGGGGTAAGGGAATAAGGCTATAATGGAGTATGGCTATAAAGGGGAACTCTATAAGAGTGGAATGGTATAGAGGGATAAAGCTATAAAGGTGTAAGTCTATATAAGAGTAAGGCAATAACGGGTTCAGACTACAGAGCTAAGACTGTTGGTGGTTAGGCCACAAGAGCTACATGAGCAATTAGCGATAGAAGGATATCACTTCATAGGGCTCCTATATACATAATATTGAGGGTGGGAGTTTCTGTTACCAAGTGAAATGTTAAAGGTTTCAGGTCATACGTTAAAGGAAAGAAAGCTGCCGTGCAGTATGCACGGGTTCTCGCTAGTATCTACAATATTATCTATAAGCTTCTATTGAATATAGATATCAAATACCGTATTCATAGGAAATTGAAATCTGAGCGTTAAACAGCTCTTAGTACTTGACTAGTCCACAATGATGTCTTCTTCTGGTACCAAGTCGACAGAAAAAAAAGATTATGTAGGTTAATTTTCTCGTTCGTGCAAGATGTGAAGAAGAGGAAGAGCGAAAATGAAAAAATGAACAGCCTTCGATTTTTTCTGTTCTCTTGGTATCTTTTTCTTCTCTGTCCTCATCACTTACTTATCTCTCGTTTTCTCCCGTAATCTACCAAGTCAGAGTGAGTATCGTCATAAACATATCATATCTCAGACGCATGATTTCGGTTTTATAGCGGTTGCTCTGAGTCATGTCAATTTTTTTTCTCCTCTTTCCTCTGAAACTGTCGGCATTTTTGGAGTTTTTTGGTTGAAATGAGCTTAAAAAAAACAAAAACACGATTGAATCATGCTGAATCGATCACGATAATGTACTGCTTTCGTATTTCTTTGTCATTCAATCGAAACTAATACAACAAACATGATTGTCTAGTATATTGCATTACTAGTGCATTGCTAAACATCAAAGTGGTTGAAAATGATACATACTAATGTACATTATTTTTCAAGTCTGCTTGATCGAATGCTATACTTTCTCCATCCTCGATGTATGGTATCATTAGAAACATTTGCCTTTCTTTTTTACCTACTCCAGGTGTTCGTTTGACTCTTCTATTTTGTTATATTATCTTTTAGATAACGAAACGACAAAAAGATCTATTCTTGGCTTTACTATTCAGTATGTGCACTTTATAAAACTGAGTATAAGATGGCGACAAAACCTCTAGCTATTATCACGGGTGCAGCATCCGGCATTGGTCGAGCAGTAGCTCAGCAATTAGCAAAAACACACACTCTTCTACTGATTGATCGAGCAGAATTTGAAGAAAATATCCAGGCGGAAATACTGAATTTCGATGTGGGGCAGGGAGCTGAATGGGGAAAAGTGACAGAGGCAATCAAAGAGCGACCAATTGACTTTGTCATGCTCAATGCAGGAGTCGGAACGAATCCTTCATGGACCGATTTGGATGGATGGCGTAGGTTGATGGATACTAATCTATTTGGCATAGTCAATGGGATTGCGACGCTGCTACCGTTCATTGAAAATACAAAAGCAACCATTGTCATTACTGGATCCAAACAAGGAATTACCAATCCACCTGGAAATCCAGCATACAATGCTTCAAAAGCTGCTGTCAAGACGCTGGCAGAAAGTCTCTCTTATGATCTCCGTAAAACAAATGTTGACGTGCATCTTCTAATTCCGGGATACACTTACACGGGAATGACTCGTGGCACCTCAACAAGCAAACCAGATTCAGCATGGACTCCAGATCAAGTTGCTTCGTACATGTTCGAAAAAATCAAGCAGAAACAATTTTACATTCTCTGTCCCGATAATGCTGTGACAAATGAAATTGATTATAAACGCATGGCCTGGAACCTGCGTGATATTATTGAAGGACGTCCAGCACTGTCTCGATGGCGAGAGGAAACTGCTAGTGACTTTGCTAAATACATCAAAGAATAACATTGCTCCTCATTTTTGTTCCTTCAATATTTTACCCTGTTGCCAAATTTCAAGTGTAATTTTCTCCTAATCATTGATTACATTCTTAACTTAATAAAGAAGCAACATCAGGTGTTGATCAAGTTAATCACACCGTGTGCACCTCCCTGAGTAATTTCCAGTTTTTACTTCAAACTCTTCATGGCACTGTCTTTAAAAAACGTGTTGTCACTAATTAATTAGTCTTGAGGGTGTGGGTGTGGGCATGGTTGTTAGTTAACAGAATTCTAACAGTGGTATCTACCCATACCTCGTCAATCATTTTCGGGAGTCTAACGATATATTTAGCAAAAAAATGACAAGCTTTTATCTACTCTTGAAGAATTGACATAAAAATCGAGATAATTTATTACTTCAAAACGTCAAGACGTATATGCTGGTGTCAGCTTTCTGTTGAATCACTATCACACACACACACGGATATCTTCGATCCACTCCACTCCGTGATCTAAAGTTTTAAACTTACAAATTATCTCAATTTTCATATCAATACATATCAAAATATTGTAGAGTGAATAAAAGCGCATCATTCTTTGCTACTACATATGTCGTTAGACTTCGAAAATGATTGATGTTGATAAAAAAATACGAATCAAAACAGATTATGTACTTTACTGAAGTATATTGTGCTTAAGTCCGTTGTACTTAGGTATATTGTACTGAGTACATTTTTAAGTAAAAAGTATTTGTACTTTTACTGCAAAAGATGCACTCGTATCTAAGAATTTTATTTACTTTGTACGAAAAGTACCAAGTATTGTGCTAAGTATCCAACATCTGACATCTAGATTTAATATATTAAATCTCACTTTCATATGACATAAATTTTTCTTACGTTAAAAGAGAATGAATGAGGTAGACATTGTGAGTATAGTATTACTTTCGCCCAAATTAAAGTTATTCTGTCTTATATTTGTTCTTTTTCTGATCGAGGGACACTGTAGTTTGACATATCTCCATCAATATACAGACAACGAAATCCATTGTTTTTCAATAGTAAGAAAAAACATGGCACCGTCATTCAAGAATACATTGCGTGTCTTTGCAAATCCAAGCGTTTATTGTGCGAAAAAAACAGTTGTCGACGATGTCGGCATTGATTGATGGATGCACGATTATAATATATTTTTTCCTGAAAGTCCAAATATCAAGAGCAAGAAAGATTAACAAGAAAGTACACTGACAACGAGGAAAAAGACGTTTTTTGATTACACTTGTATTAATGTTGCCATTTTTTTGTTCATATACATATATACAGTAAGTGAATCAATATGAAGATAAAATGTGTAAATAAATAGACACTAAACAACGCAAGGTTATATTTTCCTACCTTCTTTCTCTCACCTGAATTACATCGCATCAGGAGCATTTT